GGTCTCATGGAGATATTAGCAGGCCCCACTGCCAGCAGTCCCCACCGCCTGTAGGAGACAGCAGAGGAAGACCTACAGGGACAGGTATCCTGCTGAAAGTGCTTCCTGGGGTGAGGCATGGGCACAGACCATGAGAACAGTGCCAGGCACCAGACTTGTTGGTCAGGTTCTGGCTGGTCTCAGTGCCAAGGGAGAGGGCCTTGCTATACCACAACCCCATTGGTCAGCGAGCACCACCCCTGGGTGCTAAAGCCAGGCACGCAGATAAACCCCCAGGAGCAGAAGGTCAGCGCACCACTGCTGGAGGCAGCTGAGAGCAGAGAGGATCCGGCGTCAGAGGGGCACCGCTGGCACGGAGGTTCTGAGGATGCTTGGCGTGGCTCTCAGCGTTGCGGTGCTGCTGGCACTTGCAGGTTGTGGGGCGGAAGGCTTGGTCCCCCAGGACTGCAGTGAGTAACACGGGGATATCGGGGAGGAGAATGGGTGCAAAGCCCAGTAGGGGACACACGGGGTGCCCAGCACATCCCAGCCCACTCCCTCTCACCACAGTCGTCAACGCTGAGGAGCGCGCCCGCATGCTGGGGATACTGCAGCTCTCAGCTATGGACAGTGGACTGCCCAACCCCAGTGTGCTGCTGGCCCTCAACCTGGCTGGGGACAGCAGCAAGGCCCAGCAGGAATTGCTCGAGCGGATCAAGGAGACAGCAGTGAAGCAAGCAAATGGTAGGAGGGTGCCTCAGGGGCCATCCCAGAACCCTGTGGCATCAGTGCCTTGGGTTGGCTGTCCATAGTCTGGGGACAGTGGGTTTGGGTCCCAGCTGTTTGCCCCGACCACTCTCTGTCCCCACAGACATGTCCTCGGGCCAGGTGGCCCTGTACACGCTGGCCCTGCTCTCTTCCTGCTGTGATCCGAGACATGTGGAGGCACACGGGCAGAGCATTGACCTGCTCAGTATCCTTCAGGAGAAGATGGACGAGGAGGTGGCACACTGGGGTATGGGGCTCAGAATGGCACATGGCAACACAGGGATGCTGCTTTGGCCTGTGCTGGCTGATGGAACCCTGTACTTCCACAGAGGAGGAAGGCATCCCGCTGAGCACACTGTTCAGTGTGGGGCTGGATGCACAAGCGCTGTGTGTGATGGGAGCAGGTGGCTACCAGAGCGCTGTCACCATCCTGGCCAAGCAGCTGCAGAGTTCCCAGGACAAGCTCTCTGTGGGTAAGAGTCCCCCCACTCCAACACCACAGTCCAGCTGGCTCTGTCCAAGCCAAGCAGGCTGTGACAGTGTCACTATGCAGACGAACAGGCCATGATGGCACTGCCACTGGTGTGTGCTTATAACCGGAATGAGCTCCAGGGTATGCAGGACCTGCTGAACTCAACACTGTCAAAAGTGACCAACGAATTCCTTGAAAATCAGAATAAAGGAAACGGCTTCATTGGGAACATCTACAGCACAGGTCTGGCCATGCAGCTGCTGCTGGCTGCAGGCAAGTTCTATGCCCCGCGGAAGTGGGACTGCACCCAGCCCGTGGCTGCCATCACCGAACACCACCTGCAGCAGCCTATGGCCATTGCTCAGGCACTGCCAGCCCTGGTGGGCAAAACCTACCTGGATTCTGCCAGTCTGGACTGCAGCACCGAAGCATCCAAAACGACTAGCCTGCAGCTGGACCCAAAGCCGAGCCAGGGCATAGCAGCTCAGCAAGGTATTGGCTGCCTCCATCCCCACAGGGCCACCACCCTGATCTCCTTATAGTTTGTAATGGATTACTCCAATTGGGTATGCACCTTATGGGGCTGGAAGAGTCCAGACTGGGAAGGTGTGGTTGCTGTCACATTGTACTCTCATGTCCATGCTGATGGATGCGGATTTTGGTATGTCATTAGCCCTTAATGAGACTAAAGGTCCCTTGCAGGAAACATTACCTTTCCATTTTGTTGACACCAGCCATTGCCACATACTTGACCTACCTCTGGTCACGTTGTCACATTTCTGTTTGTTCTTTGCATATTTGCCATCATTTATTTCTGCTTACTTCCTTGTTGGACAACAATTTCCCCTTTGAGACAATGAACTCACAGCTCCTGTCGTATTTTCTCAGTGGGATCCACCATCACAGTGAAGTACACCATCACCAACAACTTGGTTGGACAGTTCTTCACCTATACCACCACAGTGGATGTCCCACATGGCTCCGTGCTCCTGGTCGTGCTGGAGGAGGCAGAGAAGTCCGACAAAACCATCTTTGGGTGAGTAGTGGGGGGCGTAATAGGGTTGGTGTCACCACCTGGGCCCCAACCCACTGCTCGTCAGACTGCAGTCCCACCACCCATCTGCCCCACAGCTTTAAGACAGAACCAACATCCTGGGGCCCAATGGTGGTGTCCATCCACGGGCTGGCTGCCAGTGAGACTGAGAGGACCTACTGGCAGTTCTTCAGTGGCAGTGATGCGCTGCAGGAAGGTGGGCAGTGCTGGGGGGGTGGCAGGGGCTGTGGTGGGGAGCCACAGCCTCACGCCCATTCCCCTCTGCAGGGGTTGGCACGTACGAGCCACACGACGGGGAGCACATCCAGGCTGTCTTCAGCACCTACTGATGGTACCGGGGGAGAAACAGCCCTGCCGGGCCCTACAACGTGGCAATAAAGAGTCATTTGCAGAACGTCCTTCTTTGCGTGCTCCCACAGCCCCCTGAATAACACAGCCACGTTGTGGTTCTGTGGTCTTCGAGGTCCCTCCCAACACAACTGTTCTGCGGCTATGTGATCCTTGTGGGTCCCTCCCAACGTGCGACATTTTGTGTTCCGTGTTCCTACATACGGCCTGGGAGCGGCCTGGGCAGCACGGGGTGAAGGAGGGCGGGCTGAAGCTTCTGCCAGGCAGAGAGGCCCTGGAGAGCCGGAACCCGCATTCCCTTCCCCTCGGCCGAGGGGGAAAAGGAGCTGTGTGACCGGAAGTGCTTCCCGCCGGGCGGCTGATGGGGCGGACCCGATGGCGGCGCCCGGCAGGCACTTCCGGCCATGGGGTGGTGGCGGCTGGGGCGGCCCGTGGCGGCCTGCGGAGGCCGGGGGGGCCCGGGAGGGACCCGAGGGAGACTATGGGGTAGGCAGGAGGGGTCTGTAGGGCGGGGAAGGGGGTCAGGTGTGCGGGGCGCTGCCCGGGGCGGCCTTCCTGGTGCCCCCGGCCCGGCCCGGCCCGGCCCGGCCCTGAGTGCTCACTGTGCCCTTAGGCCTCGGCGGCAGCACCGTCCCCCGGGCAGGCCTTAAGAAGTTCGTGCTGCCCCCTGACTACAGTGGTAAGTGCGGGACCCCGCGTCTGGCGGCGGTGCCTGAGGGAGTTGTCTGTTCCCTCCCCACCCACCTCTGCGATGATCCTCCCTGCAGGCATCACGCTCCCGGAGAGGCCGAAGCTGAAATTCATGGAGAAGGTGCCGGCAGTGCCGAAGGCCAGACGGGAACCACGGCAGCTGCGGGACATTCGCGGGCCTTCCCATGTGGCCACTGATTTCACACAGGGGCAGTACGGCATCCTGGTGAGCACTGGGCTGTGGTGGGTTGCACCAGGCTTAGAGCACCTCCGGTGCCCAGCAGTCAGCCCTTGCCGTTGTCCCACAGGCGCTGGGCGGTGGCTACCTGCACTGGGGGCACCTGGAGATGATCCGCTTGACCATCGGGCGCTGCATGGACCCCAAGAACATGTTTGCCATCTGGCGCGTGCCACCTCCCTACAAACCACTGACAAAGAAGAGCCTCGGACACCGCATGGGGGGTGGCAAAGGCCCCATCGACCGCTACGTGACCGCAGTGAAGAGCGGACAGCTCGTGGTAGAGCTTGGTGGGCGCTGCGAGTTCGAGGAGGTGAAACCCTTCCTCACACAGGTGGCCAACAAGCTGCCCTTCCTTGCTGTTGCTGTCAGCCGGCAGAGCCTGCTGCAGATGCGGCAAGAGGAGGAGGAGAAGAGGCGCAACAACCAGAACCCCTGGACCTTTGAGCGTGTCATCACCGCCAACATGCTGGGCATGCGAAGGTACCTCAGCCCCTACGACCTGAAGCTGAAGGGACGCTACTGGGGGAAATTTTTCCTCAAGCACAGGGTGTAGCCCGCAGGCAGGGATGAAGCCACCAGAATAAAGCCTTCTGTGAACGCATGGAATTGTAGAATCTTTGATGTTGGAAAAGACCTCTAAAATCATTGAGTCCATCTGTCCGCTTACCACCAAGAAATGTTTAGATGTGGCACTGGGGGACCTGCTTGAGTGGAGAAATATTGGTGTAGGTGGACTGTTGGGCTCAGTGATCTTGGAGTTTTCTTCCAGCCTTGGTGAATCTGTGATTCAGTATTGCCCGCTATGTCATGATCACATGCCACATATCTACGTTTCTTCAACACCTCCAGGGATGGTGACTCCACCACCCCCCTGGGCATCCCATTCCAATGTCAAACCATTCTTTTAGAAAAGAGGTTTTTCCTAATATTCAGCCTGACCCTCCCCTGGCACAGCTTGAGGTCATTGCCTCTCATCCTTTCACTCCTTATGTGGTAGGAGGCCAACTTTACCTCACTATAACCTCATTTCAGGGAGTGGCAGAGAACAATAATACTTTTCCAGCTTCCTCTTCTCCAGACTGAACAATCCCAGCTCCCTCAGCCACTCCACATAAGACCTGTGCTCCGGACCCCTCACCAGCTTCATTACCTTCCTTTGGGTGCGATTACTGTGGGTTGTGGAGGCCCAGATGTGGGGATGGGATGCGGAGGTGAGTGACACGACTCCCTGACACAGCACCATGGGGTGGAGTGTGAGTCATCTCTTTATTGGGGAGGAGGGCTGTGGTGCAGGTGTCGGCACATCTGGAGAGCAGCTCCGTGGAGGAATGGCTGCACACGAGCTCTGAGTGAGGGGTGAGCTGCTTTCACCACCGGGCAAAGCAGAGCCCTGGCTGTGGCTGGCTCCGTGCTGGTGAGTAGGGAGCTGTGGGACCCTGGTGTGAGGACAGCGGGTGAGAGGGGACCTCGGGGTGACGTCCTCAAGGCTTGGCAGGTGGGTCCCAGGGCCACGGGTAGGATCACCGAACAGGATGGGGAAAGGCCACCTGTAAGCGGGAAGCATCAGAGGCGGCTGGCACTGCTACCCCATCTGTGAGTGAGTGCTGCTGGCCCGAACCCCATGGGCACCCCATCACCTGTGGGGAGTGGCTGGGATGTCAGGCGAAGATGCTACCGATGCTGGCAGCCAGGATGATGACAAGGATAATGCAGCAAATCATGATCATGATCTTCTTCTGCACGGGAGAGAGGGACTGTGAGGCTGGGACATGGACAGGGCAGGGAAGGGGAACAAGGGACAAGAAGACAGAGGTTCAGGGGGCGACTCAGAGCAATGTGGGATCCTGTTGGTCCCTCTCACCCTCCTGGCTTCGCTTTGGTACTTGACGGCCTTTTTGGTGTCAGCCACAGCTCGCTCCACGAAGCCGACAGACTGGTCCATGTTGTTTTCTATGCGGTCGATCATGGCTCCCTATGGGGGCAACAAGGAGAGACAAGGGGCACAGCACGACTCCTCGCATTGCATGGGGCACTGGGAGTGCTCAGAGGGGATGGGGAGGAAACCCTCCCGGGGATTCGGTGCCATGGCTCTGTGGTGCTCCATGGCCAGGTCCCAGCCCCCGGGGTCCCTCCTTGTTCCCCTGCTGTCCCATGCATGAGTCCCGGTCCTTCTCTATCCTGTCCCTACTTGTCCCTATGCTGTCCTATGTCCAGACCCCTGTTTGTCCCCTCCCTTCCCCTGCCTCAGACCCTTTGTCTCCCCTGCCTCATGCTGGCTCGCAGCTCGCCCCGCGGCCATGCCTGGTTCTCCACCAGCATGGCGATGTCGACAAACATGTCGTGCAGCTCCTTGATGCTGCTCTCCAGCCGCACGATGTCCTTATGCCGCCCCTCGATTTCACTCAGTGCCTGCTTTGAGATCTGCGAGTCCACGATCTGCAGGGGAGACAAGGCAAGAGGCGTCAGAGGAGCAGCTCCAGACCCCCAACCCCTGGCCCCATGGGGCTCACCCCTGAGGTGAAGATGGCGGGGTTCCCGCTCTCCAGCATCTCCTCCAGCTCCTCATCCGTCGTGTTCTTGCCAGCTGTGGGGAGTGAGCGCTGCCACAAGCTCTGCCCACCCCACTGAATGAGTGGGGCATAAGGTGGGGAAGGGGACACGCACTGATCTCTAGCTGCCGCTGGATCCGGCCTTTGCTGCGCTCCCGGAAGTCAACCTGCGCCTCGTTGTACTTGGTCATCACATCAACGAACTTGCGGGACAGGACTGAGTGCTGGGGATGGGGACATTGGGAACACCCTGAGCATGGCGTAGCTCAGCCCCAGGGGCTGGATTGAGTGCTGGATTTGGGCATGGGGACAGTGAGAAGTGGACATTGGGATGGGACGCCCCAGGCATGGCATGTTCCAGCTTCCAGAACCAAGTACTGGGGATATGAACATTGGGCTGGGGTCACCCGAGGTGTGGTGTGTCCCAGTCCTAGAGGACAGGACTGAGTGCAGGGGGCAGAGATGTTGGGATGGGGTTACCGTGATGTGTCCCACCACAGGATACATGACTGAGTGTGGAGGACAGGGACAGAGATATTGGGATGGTGACATTGGGTTGGGAACGCCGAGTATGGCATGTTCCAGCCCCTGGTATTATGATCAAGCTCTGGAGTTATGTATGAGAGACACTGGGATATGGACACCCCAGTGTCCCAGCCCCGGGGGACAGGATTGAGTGCTGGGAATGGGAACATTCTGATGTGCCTGACCACAGGATACGTGACTGAGTGCTATGACAGAGACAGAGACATTGGGATGGCAACACTGGAAAGCAGATATCTCAGGCATGGCATGTTCCAGCTCCCAGGGACAGGGCCAAGAACTGGGGATGGGGATACAGGGATGGGGACATTGGCATGATAATAATCTGAGCATGTTGTGTTCCAGCCCATGGGGTTAGGATCAAGTGCTGGGATTGGGGATGGGGAGATTGGGCTGGAGACACTTCAGGCATGGTGAGCCTCAGCCCTATAGGATAGGACTGAGTGCTGGGGATGGGGACACTGGGACAGGGACATTGGGATGGGAACACTGCAGGCGTGTCATGTACCAGACCATGAGGACAGGACCAAGTGCTGGAGTTGTGAATGGGGAACCCCCAAGCACAGTGTGCCCCACATCAGGGTACACGACTGAGCGCTAAGGATGGCAACAGGGATACGGGAACAGGGACACCATAGGTAAAGCATGCCTCAGCCCCAGGGGACAAACCCGAGTGTGGGAGCAGCCGTGATGCATTCCACCCCCGGGAGGGGATGGCAGGGTGCAGTCACCTCACCTGGGACTTGCGTATGCGCAGGTCAGCAGAGGAGCGGGCCTCATCCTGCTCGATGTTCCTCTCCATGCCTGCCAGCAGTGAGAACCCCACCTGTCAGGTGCATTTCCCCCCCCACCACGGTGACCCCAGGGCCGGGGACACAGCCACTCACTCTTCAGCTTGTTGCGCACGCTGTTGGCCGTCTTCTTGATGTCAGCTGTGAGCTGCTCCAATTCATCTTTGGTCTCTGCAGGGGAGGGGATACTGAGATGGGGATGCCATCACAGGTGTGTGTCCAAGGAGGGGACGTATGGCCCTGATGGGGGGGAGAGGGATGATGACACACAGCCATGCTCACTCTGCTCAGGGATGGGGGCCGAGAGGATGACACTGTAGAGCTTCTTGGCCTCCTCCACGTTCTCTGAAATTTTGTCGATGTTCTGCCTCGTCTCCTCAATCTAGAAGGGCCATGAGGACATGTCACCTGTGTCCCCCACGTGCCCCACATCCCCTGTGTCCACCTGCTCCACACCTCAGCAAAGAATTCGTCCATGAAGGCTGTGTTGTCGATGGCGATTTCCATCTCATCGGTGTCATCCTCAGCATCCTGCTTCTGTGGGAAGTAGCAAGGGGATGCTCAGGGGACAGCTGGGGACACCTGGTGGGTGTGGGCCGAGGACAGGGAGGGATGCAATGGCCCCCAAGCAGTGAGGGGGGGTCCAGCCGGGTGCCATCTGCTCACATCTGACCAGCGGGAATTAACGGATTGCAGGGCTGGGCAGTGGGAGGAGCAGGGACAGAGATGAGGCACTCCATCATGGGGCTTTGCGGCCCCAAACATCACCCCACAGCAGCTCCGCACGAGCTCCCCTCTGCCCCACAACCACCCTTGCCATTACCATGGTGTTGTGCCCCAGCCCCCTATTTCTGGGGTAAAAATAATGCTTAATCCCCTGCTCCCCCCGCAGGGCCTGATCGTGGGCAGTGCCTCCCTTAATCCCTGCTAAATCCCCCACGGGGCAGCATGGAGGCTGCAGGGCTGCGCAGCGTGGGGAGCACCCCAAGAATCCAAAAGCAGGGCACGGGGCCCTGTGTGTGTTCCGCATCGCTTCCTGCGCGCCACAGTGAGATTGCAGCCACCCCGAATCCTCCCAGGGCTAAGACCCGTGGTCCCCTCTGGCAGTAGGGCACGACCTATCCCTGGATGACCCCAGTGTGCCCCCCATGGTGCCCTGCACCCCTCACCGCCCGGAGCTGCTCCAGCCGGTCCCGCATGGTGCTGGGCTGCCAGGACTCGTCGCCCGCCTGCTGCCGTCCTACATCAGCCCCGCTAATCCCCACTGATGGGCACTCAATGAGAGCAAGGCTGAGGCGGGGCTGCCCGCATCCGCCACGTGTGCTCCAGACACCCGAGGGGGGGTGGAGAAGGTGCCAGTGACACGAGTATCTCCACAGCTTACAGATGACCCTGGCACCGGGTGGGGGACAGGAGGTGGTGGTGGACAGGTGGACACGGCCACGGATAGGGGATATGAGTGGTGTGACATGGGTTGGAGGGCAGGGCCATGGATAGGAGATATGGGTGTTGGGGTATGAAACGGGGACATGGCCATGGGTAGAGGACACAGGTGTTGGGATGCGAGTTGGGGGTGTGGCTAAGGGTAGGGGACGTGGTTTGGGGGACATAACCATGGATGGGAGGCACAAATGGTGGGACGCAGGTTGGAGACGTGGCTAATAGGGGACACGGACTGGGGTTGTGGCCATGGTTAGGGGACATGAGGCAGACTTGGCCATAGTTAGGGCACACCGGTTGAGGGACGTGAGCTGGGGGACATGTCTGCGGGCAGGGGACCCAGGTGGTGGGGCACAGGTTGGAGGACACGACTAGAGGGAAACACCCAGGGAATTTAGCGGAGGACTGAGACACGGCTGACGTGGGGGGCACCGGTTGGGGCAGCAGCGCCGGCGCTGGGGCAGGACGGGGCACAGGTGCCCGGAGGCAGGCAGAAAAAGGCCGCCTGCCCCTTTAAGAGCCGCCCGCAGTGGGGCGCGGCGCACTAAAGCCTTCGAGTGGGCGGTGCTTCCCATTTGCGCATGCGCACCCCACGGACGGGTGGGGAGGGTGACGTCATGCGCCTGCGCCCGCGGCGGCGCATGCTCGGCGGGGCCGGAGCGGGCCGCGCGGAGCCTGCGGGCGGGGGGCGCCGCCGCCGCCGCCGCCGCCATGTTCCGGTACCCGGTGAGTGGGGGGCGGGGCGGGGGCTGATGGGGGGGGGGTCGGGCCGCAGGGACCGGAGCTGGGGCTCGAGCTCGGGCCTCGGAGTTGGGTTTGGGGCCGTGGTTGTGGGCTCAGAGCTGAGGGCCGGGGCCGTGGGGTCGTGGGGTCGTGGGGTCGTGGGGCCGTTGGTTCAAGGCCCAGGGTCAGCTCTGGGTGCTGAGCGCTGGGGCCCGTAGCTTGGGGCCAGGGCTCTGGGCTTGGGACTGGGGCTGCTGGGCAGGGCTGGGCCTTGGGCTTGATGGCAGTGCTGGCAGTGGTGGTGGTACAAACGTGCTGTCTGCCACCACAGTCCCTGGAGGAGTGCCCGCTGGATGAGGAGGACGACGGCTTCCAGGCACTGGGCGAGGAGGATGAGGACATTGATCAGTTCAACGATGACACCTTTGGAGCCGGGGCTGTCGGTGAGCTCTTGGTCCCTCTCTCTTGCCCTCACTGCCCACCCGGTGCCTGGTGCTCTCTGCTGCCACGCTCACCCCACCGTTCCCATGCAGATGATGACTGGCAGGAGGCCCACGAGCGATTGGCTGAGCTGGAGGAGAAACCCTTGGGCTCTGGGCAGCAGACCGCACCAAGCAGTGAAGATGCAGAGTTGCTGGGTGAACCTGAGGATGCACTGGCAGAGCGGCTGACGCGGCTGGTGATCGAGAGTGAGCTGGAGGACCCTGCCATCATGCGAGCTGTGCACACCCGTGGGCCTGGTGCACAGACTATGGCACTCAACACCAGCATCTGGGATGGCCCCTCTGTGCTGCAGCGCATCTGCACGCCGCTGCTCACCCAGGTAGGGGCATAATGCTGTCACCACTCAATAGAGGGCCGCAGGAATGGGGAAGGAAATGTTAGGAAGTGGCTCTTTACCAGAGGGTTGTAGGCGTGGAGCAGAGGTTTCTGGCTTCACAGAAAAGCAGGCACTGCCTCACACTGCCAGAACTTGAGGAGTGTTGGGCAATGCTCTCGGGCGTATGTTTGGGTTTTGGGTGTTCTTGTGTGGGGTCAGGGGTTGGATGTGGTGGTCCCTGTGGGTCCCTCCCAGCTTGGGATATTCTGTGGCTGTTGGGTGAGCTGTGCTTGGACATCTCTTCTTGACCCTGCATATGCTCTCTCTGGGCTGGGTGGTGCCACTCAATCCCTCATGGTGTCAGCACTCAGGATTTGGGATTGTCAGTGCCTTGAGCCATAACTGTTTTAATTGCTAGGTGACAGAGAGTGAGGCTTAATTAAGAATCATACACAGGATCCTTGGGGCTCCCTGAGAATCCTGGCTGGGGCGTGGGGATCTCCAGCACTGGGAAAGCACTATGCGGCAGCTCCTCTGCACTATACCACGTCAGTGTCAACGTCCTTGCCACCGTGTCCAGCCCTGAGACTTCTTTCCAGGGCTTTTCTCCCCACTTCTACTTGCAGGAGATGCCATCAGTGTCCGTGCTGGACTACGCTCTGCCCCAGAGACCCCTGCAGGCTCAGGAGGAGGAGCGGGACCCCTCGGAGCGGGCACTGCCACGTCGCTCATCCTCTCCCATCATTGGGAGCCCCCCTGTACGAGCAGTCCCCATCGGTACCCCTCCCAAGCAGGTCGCTATGCCCAATTTTAACCAGCAGGTATGGCCCCTAGCTCCCTAAAGCAGGTGCACGCCCCGTGGTGAGGAGCCAGACATCAGACCCCCACTGCTTTCCTTCTCTCAGATCCTGTGTCCAAAGCCTGTCCACATCAGGGCTACCATGCAGCAGCGCTACTCTGCTCCCTACAGCGAGAGGATGTCCCCCAACCAGCTCTGCAACGTACCAGTACTCCCTGCTCCCACCCCCAAGCCCCTCTGATGCCCCAACTGCATCATCATCCCACCTGGGAGGACCATGACTGGGGGCTCTGCTCCTTTATTTTCTCGCAGAACTCTTCGTTGCTGGGCCACCCATTCCCCACCAGTGTCTCTCCCGTTTTCACCCACCTGCAGCGGGCGCAGCTGCTGGGAGGAGCGCAGGTAAAGCCCTGGACTCTGTGCCCGCCAGCCTCTTAGGGGTGAGGGTCCAGCATTCTGATGGACCCTTCCTGACCCACACTCCCTCTGCCCCCAATTTCAGGCCGGCCGAATTTCTCCCAGCCAGTTTGCTCGAGTCTCAGGCCTCGTTGGGAACCCGCTACCCTCCGTCAATCCCAAGCTGCTGCAGGGCAGAATGGGGCAGATGATGGCTCCCACTGGCGGCTTTCGTGCCTTCTTTGGGGCTGGCCCCGCTCCGCCCTCACAGCCGCAGCCTCCGCCGGGCCCCGTGCCTCACCTGCAGGGCCTGAGGTAGGCACTGACCCCCTTGGGGTCGCGCGCCTGCTGTACAGCCCTGTAATCCCGTGTGCTCCCCACAGGCCACAGCCCTTCCGACCGGACACCACCCACCTGCACCCCCAGCATCGCCGGCTCCTGCACCAGCGGCAGCAGCAGAACCGAAAGTGAGCACCGGGCGGGAGGGAGCGCGAGGAGGTGGGCGGTGCCCCGGTGCCGGCTGTTCTGGGGGCCCGTGCAGCCGGGGCTAGCCTGTGCACCACTCTCTGTCCCTTCCTGTAGCTCCTGTGTGCTCATGGGTGCTCTTCTTGCCTCCTGCCAGCCAGCACCGTGGCCTCAACGGCTCGATGGGGGAACGAGGGGGCCACCGTGGCAGCCACCAGGAGCAGGCACGCAAGGACCCCTACGCAAACCTCATGCTGCAGCGGGAGAAGGACTGGGTGTCCAAGATCCAGATGATGCAGCTGCAGAGCACCGATCCCTACTTGGATGACTACTACTATCAGGTACTGGGAGAGGGGCAGGGATGGGGCCAGCATGAGGGAAGAGCTGTCATGCTTTGCCTTGGGAAAGGGAGGGCATCAGAGAAGACATCACACTTTCTGCGTGTACCGGGAAGGAGTGTTGTGAAGCACTGCTGCGTGAAGGAGAAGCAGTGGGGAGAGAGCTTTGCTCCTGGGATACTGACCTTTCCTGTCTCTGTTCCAGAACTACTTCCAGAAGCTGGAGAAGCTGTCAGCAGCTGAGGAAGACGGTCCCAAGAAGGAGCGTACGAAACTCATCACCCCTCAGGTGGCAAAGCTGGAGCACACCTACAAGCCAGGTTAGCACTTCCTTCCCCAGGTCTGGAGGCAGGGAGAGCAGTTCTGCCCTGGAAGCTGGCTCCTTGCATCCCCTGCCCTGTCCTGCAGTGCAGTTTGAGGGCTCGCTTGGGAAGCTGACAGTCTCAAGTGTGAATAACCCCCGGAAGATGATCGATGCAGTGGTGACCTCCCGTGGAGAGGATGACGTGAGTGCTGCCCCTTCCTCCCAGTCCCCCATGACCTGCACCTGTACCCTGACCTCCTCTCTCCCCTGGGCAGGAGACAAAGGAGAAGCAGGTCCGGGACAAGCGGCGTCAGACACTTGTCACCATTGAGAAGGTAAGTGCTGCGTCCCCACTCTGTACGGGGCACGCCTGTGGGTCTCTGACTGTGGGTCTCTGCCTTGTGCGATGGCCACCTGTCCTGTAGACGTACAGCCTCCTCCTGGATGTGGAGGACTACGAGAGACGCTACCTCCTGAGCTTGGAGGGTGAGCGGCCCGCCCTGATAGGTGAGAGGAAGCAGAAGATCTGCAACATGTATGACAATCTGCGTGGGAAAGCACCGGGGCAGGAAAGGTGAGCAGGGGGAGGCTGGGGGCTGAAATGACCTCACTTTTGCACCTCGATGTCGCTGTGGGGTGCACCTTCTATTGCTGTGCTGGCTGAGTCATTTCCTTCACAGGCTGAGCGACGACCACTTCATGCAGATCATGTGCATCCGGAAAGGAAAGCGCCTGGTGGCCCGCATCCTCCCCTTCCTGTCCCCTGAGCAAGCGGCCGACGTGCTGTTGGCGACGGCCCGGAACCTGCCCTTCCTCATCAAGAAGGATGCTCAGGATGAGGTGACTTCTGCGGCTCAGAGCGTTCCTGCCACGCCCCACAATGCAGGCCCCCACCTCTCCCCTTGGGAGAATGGGGATGGTTATGGGGCAACCCTGCATCCCAGCTCTCTATGCTCCCCCAGGTGCTGCCCTGCCTGCTGCGGCCCTTTTCACACCTCCTATACCAGCTCCCCCTAGGGACAGTCACTAGCCTGGTGCAGCAGCTCACCAACCTACCTCAGAGTGCTGCCGCACCCACCTCCACCAACCTGCACCTCACCACAGTGCTCCAAAACAAGGTGGGCACCCGCTGGGCTGGCGTTGCTCCGTTGCGTCCCCGCGGGTCCCCAACACCTCATCTCCATCCCTGCAGTTCGGCCTGTCCCTGCTGTACCTGGCTCTGAGCCGTGGGGAGGAGCTGCAGAGCACGGACGGCGGCACGGAGCTGATGCAGGACAACCAGTGGTGAGAGATGGAGCGGCAGGGCCGTCATGCGGGGGGAAGAGCCAGCACTGTCCTCATGCCGACACATCCTCTGCCCACAGGACGGAGCTGATGCTGCTGGCCACTCAAGAGCTGCTGCGTGTACCACCCACTGCCCTGCCCAAGCAGGTGCCCCCTCCCTCCAACCTGCTCTCTTTCTTCTCCCGCTACGTCGACCAACAGAAGCTCAACCTCCTGCAGACCAAGCTGCAGTGAGTGCTGTGCTCAGCCCCCCAACCCCCGGCAGGACGGTGCCCTGGGGCGGGCACAGATGGGTAGTTCTTTGGCTGAGTGCCGGTGCTGTTGCTCAGTCCTAGCGCTGAGTCTCAGTGCCGGTGCCTGGTTCTGGCCCCCAGCCCCTGGCAGCACCTGGCAGCTCGTTCTGCTGCTGGGTTCTGGTGTCTTCTGGTTCTAGCGCCCGGTTCCAGCCCCCCCATGCTGTTTGCACACCCCCTGTCTCCTCACCCCGCCCCCACCGCAGTTGCAGTTCACACACACACACACACACACACACACACACACACACAGCCCCGTAGGCCCACGCCATCCCGTGGAGATCCCTTGTT